TAATAGTAATGACATAAAGATTAACAATTAAGAATTCTTTAATTAAAGATAATACGATGTAGCATGTTTTGGCGATGTTTGACGAAATTATTGATATCGGCTCTGAGTGAAGACTTTTACAAATACTCTCCAAATAGGTATAGGAAACGCGATAATATAGTGCAGAAGGGAAAACCTTTTTCTACTGTTTACTTATTTGGTGGACGTGGACGCTAGTGGCGAGATGCGTCGTCTGCGTGTTTACATATGCAGCTGATTAGTGAGTCATAGATCTATGGTAAATAGTTTACGAAATATATACAGTGACATTCAAATTAGGACTTTTTCGTGAAAAAATTAAAGGTTACATCATCATGTGGCCCTCTTTGTATGTTCTTGTGATGTGTAGCTCCAGAAAAGGCAGTGGAAACTTTTACAGAAAATAGTCATGCTGTAGTATTGGACATAAAAGGGAAATAGTCATTATAATAATTGACTGGTGAAATATTATGGTTAGACCACAGGAGTCTATAATGAAGTATTCTCTGCATCACATTTTATTTACAAATTAAGTTGCTGTGACTGGGCTTTGGGCACTCCCGGAGGGGAAGGCTAATGTCAGACTTTGCCCCATAACACTTCCCATCAAACATCTTCATCATAGTATGTGTGGCAAGATGTAGCTAAAAATCGGTAGGACTAAGTGGATGTAGACTGTGATCTTTTTCCATTTACATCTGGTGTTTACTGGTCATGCCTGTGGATTATTTCTTGTAGTGACAAAGGCATCTTTTTATTCTTTACACAATTATCATCTTCAATTTACCCTTGCTTAGTGTTTCCATACCGTAAAGAGTAATCATTAGTGATTGTGCTTTTTGAAAGAAATAAAGTATTTGAAATAAAGGCAAACAAACAGTGTTCTATAATTCTGATAAAGATATGTAATATGGAAATTTGTATTAAAAAGGTTGTAATTTATCATGATACTTGATAGAAGTCGCTGCGTCCTGAACATAGGCCTATATGTCCTTAGTGACAGGTACAACAATAGCCGTCTCGACAAAATTGTGTTTTATATATATATGCATCATGACTGTACACCGCATAAACCCTGCCAGAAAGAAAAATACTGTTGTTTAATGATCATGTCACAGATAATTTTAGCCCCATCATGACGGGGATATTTAAGACAGTATTCATTGGCAGCCTCCCCCGTATGCATCCAGTTTGTTCATTATTTCAAGCATAATTTTTCACTTTAGCTGCTGACTTCCCATTGAAGAGGATTTACTGTGGAATTGGTAGCAAAATTATCATTGTCTTTAAATCATATGTAACCGTATTTCAGCTGAGGAAAAATGACTCTTCAGATTTATTTCTGAGAGTAAAAATAGCTATTTCTTATTCTGTATACCTAAATTCATCAAAATAGATTGTATAACTGAAAACAAAATATAACTGTCATGCCCATTCTTTCCATCTTTTACGATAGATATCAGTAATTTTCTCTTGAAAGAGTAAGAAGTTATGTATTCTTTGCACCAATGTTTTTGTCATTTGTGTACCCAGTATCTCAGGTTCACAACAGTTATACTCAGTTCACAGTAGAAAGTTTTCAACCAGGCTGCCAGATCTACAGTTATTCATTTTGATATGTCCAGGCAAGATAAACATGGCTCTTTCAACAGTAACTAGTTCATTGAAATATCTCTTTAACCAGTATGTAAAACATATACTGTAACATGCCCAAATGTATTGGTATTTGTAAATAGACATAGTTGTTTATTTCTGAGTGCCCAGACTGTGTATGTATATATGCATGAGTCTGTATAAGCAAGCAGAGGCATACACATATAGTTATAAATTTATGCTTTTGTACATTTTTAATAAGTGAAGCAGCAATAGTAACAAGAAAAACTATGTCATTACTTTTACAAGTTAACCCATTAACGCCGGTATATTTTACCGCTGAAAATAAAAGATTCCGGGCGGCTACAAAATCGGCGGTCGGAGTTGCCCCGGACTCTATCCGCCTGCCAGCCGCAGCCCGCTGCTGCATCAGAGTGCAAGCCCCGATACAGCGTCACACTGGCGGGGACACCAGGGTTTTGCACATGAGATGGCTGGCAACTGCTTATGTTCTGCCCATTATTGTTTTGTTAACAATGGTAATTCTCTACAGTACAGATGCATTTGCCATGGGCTAAGTCCCTAATTCCATGTCACAAACTTTATTCAGTGACCCAGATTGCTGTGCCTCAACATCTAACAGCAAGCATTGTCTTCATGTCGGCATGTACAGCAAGATAGAGCTTAAACTTAGGAGCCCAGAGTAGACTTGGGCAATTTCTTCAGTCTTTTTCCTTTATTTGTGGCATTACCAATCATGTCTGCAAATTATTTTTTGTAGTAACAACTGTAACTTTTTATCTTCTACAAGAATATCATCTTCAATTTGCTCTAGCTTAGTTCATCCATACCATAAACATAAATCATTGACAATACTAATAGCAACGAATAATAGGAAAGCATATATTTGAAAATCAAGGAAAAAGGTAAACAGGAGAGATAGGTAGGACTAGTAATTGTTTCCATGGTAGGTAAGTAAAAAGTTGTGAAGCCATCTCTGTATTCATAAACAAAAATTGCACTAGACATGGAATGTATTTACACGCCATCCCCAGCAGCTTTGTGTTGATTAGTTATTTATTTATACATTCATTTTCATGTATAAAACATTTATCCATGTGCAAGTCAAGGCTGTAACATCTATTGCAAATTATTTATCAGAGTATTTTCAATGTACATTATCCATTTTATCCCTGCTATATTATTTTCATGTATAAAACATTTATCCATGTGCAAGTCAAGGCTGTAACATCTACTGAGGCAGGAAATGTAGACTGATTGTGTTTTTCTATCCTTTCAGAAACATAGTAAAGGACGTGGGAGGGGGACAAGGAAGAGGTCGACTTATCAAAGGACGCCCAAATCTGATAGTCGGACCACCAGCACAAGGGGTATGTATCTCTCATGCAGCAAGCTCTTGTAGTTTTCTCTTTTTCAGGAACCTGTGGTTTATTAGGAATACAAACAAGTTGTATTGTAGAATCTCCTGAATAATTTATATGTTGCCCATCTCCCCATTTGTGTAGGATTGTACTTCATTTCTTTTGCTTCTATCAATGTGGTAGTTTCTTGTGAACTGACTGGATACTTATTAAGCCTCAGGCACACTTGCATAGGATCCCAGACTTGGCTGTAACTATTGTCAACTTATACAACCTTTATATTAGATACTCTTATTTTTCATTATATAGGTTTATTGTAAAATTATATTCCTCCACTCTTTTCCCTTACCATAATCAATCTTGTACTTTTTTTTCCTTTTTCATCACCTTCAGTAGTAAGAGACTGGCAACAGGCTAATATACTCACTTATTTGATGAGGTCAAATTTCTCTTGGCAGAAATATTGTATTATGTAAACTGAAATATACTTACATATCTTTAAGACCAGATCTTGCTGGTTGATAGTAAGCAACATTTAGCACTTGTAGTTGATAAATTTTCCATCATATGTGGTTCTCTCGTAAGTGACAGATTTAGTGTATTGAGATTGTATCTTCTTTGATATCACAGTGAGAAACAAGAAATTATGGAAATAACCATGTCACGTCTTTTCAGGTTATTGGTGATGCTAGAAACAAAATCATCCAGAAGAAACGTCTTCGGTTCAGAGATGCACGGGATCGCCTTGCTGAAATTGCAAAGCAGGGTGATGCTCGAGACAAGATCAACAAGAACAGGAAGTTCTCCAATGCAACACAGAAGGTATGCAGTTACAGCTCTACTCTTTATGTTGTTATTGACTGCATATATTTGAAGTTTGATTTGATATAATTGTCTCCTTTTATTTATTTTAAGTGTATAATGCCAGTGCCATTGTAGTTTCTTCTAATTACTGTTGAAACTGTGTTAAATGGATACATTTTTAACATCAGTGATTGTTCTTTTTAGAATCCTGTCATACGGAAGACCCCCAGACTAATGGACGAGAACATGAGGAATGAGAATTTTCCATCTTGTAAGTGGAGCAATATACATGTTATTTTGGAGGTTTTAGATTTTTTATTGTTGTTGTTGTTATGGTATTATGTTAGTAGTATAGTATATATATATATATTATATATATATATATATATATATATATATATATATATATATATATATATATATATATATATATATATATATATATATATATATATATATATTATATATAATATTTTTTTTTTTTTTTTTTTTTTTTTTTTTTTTTTTTTTTTATCCTATGCACAAAAGAAAAAGATGAAAATGTAAAGGACTATTAAAAGAATAATAAAACTGTTTGCTAAAATGTTCAACTGATGAAGTAACTCAGTAAGATTACATAAAAGCTGGTTGATGAAAAATGGCCCCCTTTTAATTGGATTAATTGACAATTTACTAAAAGTTATTTCCTTGTTATCTATGTTAACAGACCTTGGTGGACAGACACGCATGCAAGGAACTTCACTGATCCGCACAGTGGCTGGGGGTGATGGCCTCGGCAAAGGGAATGTCATAGTTAGAGGAAAGCCAACTGCTACCAATTTCTCAAAAGGACTGCAGAGGCAAATTCCGTCAAACAGTCGACCACAGTCTGTTACAAGAACTCGGGATGGTGAACGTTATCATCCGTTGCCAAATAACCCCCATGTTGTGACAATCAAGAATGACAAAGCAGACTTTTATAATCCATCCTATCAGCAAGTCGCAAGGTATTTTGACTCTGTGTTCGCATCGACAGTTGTATATGGTCTAATCTCTCCACAGCAGATTTGGTAATTCAGTGCAACCCTTACAGGTATCCATTTTCTCTACAAGGTCTAATCTTAAGAACATTATTTTTTCCTTAACAAAAAAGGCATTAACCTCATGGAGATTTCAGTATTTTGGCCCATTCAAAAAGGAAATTGCTCTCTGATCAAAGAGAGAAACGTCAAGGTCACTATGAAATGATTAAATCAATAAAGGGTTAAAAGCAAGAAAAGAACAAAAATGTCAGCTAAGGTTGTGATATCAGCAGACCACGATCAACTACACATGGTCAAGGTTAGCAATTTAGCTAATACTTTTACTTAGTGTAATGAGGTTATCTGTATGGTTGAGGGTGGAGATGTCAGTATCACCCAGTTGTGTTCCTAAAGCACAGTTGACAGAAGTTGTCATAAAATGATACCTGGGAAGCAGAGACAAAAATGATTCACAAAGAGTTGATAATTTTGATGGATGTTTCTCACCAACTGTTTTCATAGTTTGCGCAGGTTTCAACCATGAGGACGCCACATGAGGGAAGCCTTGTGTGCCTCATCATCATTCTTGTTGTAAAGAGGATACAGATCTTCAACAGATAACTTTAAAGTATTCACTGAATTATTAGAGCAGTTCATGAGTAGATGGAAGTGATAATTGATATAAGAGAATCTGAAATAGCAGATGAGTGATAGAGACAAATAAAAATAGTAATTAGAATACTAGAAGTCGGGATTCTGCACAATATATATTAACCAAGATCAAATAAATGGTGCATAATATTACTAGTCAAGAGTTTGATATGTGAAACGTTG